TCAGGCGAGGATATCTTCGACAACGTTCCCTAGCTTGTGGAGAGTTGTCACAAACAACTGAAGGTGATTTCAGGCGAAGTTATCTTCGATATTGTTCCCTGGCTTGTGGAAGATGGTCACAAAGCGCTAGAAGGTCGTTTCAAGCGAAGCATTCTTCGATGGGGTTCTCTAGCCTGCAAAAGTCTATCACGGTGAAATTGGAGGCAGTTACAGGCGTAGCAGTCTTCAGGCGGTATTCTCTAGCTTGCAGAAGATCGTCAAAACAAATAGCAGGATGGCGTTCCCTAGCTTGCGGAAGGTTATCACAACAACAACAAATACAACAATGCAACAGCAACAAATCGGTTACTTTCAGAGACGTGTGCTCGACGGTGCAAGATACGTGTTTCTAGACTCTCTTATCTGTTTTAACTAACACTAGTTTTGCAGGTATCGGCGTTACAAGAATGGTTTAGGATCGGAGAACGTTCTGAATCATTCTCCGTCCCTATCGATACTTTGACTTCTGTTTTTGAAACTTGCGTTTCTCCAAACTCAGTCAAAGTGGGGGCTTCTATAGACACCCATTTGTGTCTCCCCAAAACTAAACCCGGTGATGAGTACCTTTCACGTCAAATCATAATCGAATGAAGTGAAAGTGTGGAAAGTCTAGTGTTGCGGTTAAGTTTTTAATTCTTTTCTTTCTCTCTGTTTTTGAAAACCTATTTTTAAGAAAACATCCAATCTAGTTTGGTTTGGTCCATATCCAGGGTCCAATAATAGAATAGTTGGATGGGGTTTGAAAAGAGCTTTCCAACGATATTTTATAAGCCCAATTCCGATGAATAATGAGGAAGTTATGGCCAAATTACTAAACTGGGCCTGGTTGATATTTATGTGCGGCCCAATAATCTAGAGGAGGTCCTAATATTGATTTATCATTCCTAATGCAATTAGAATTGGTTTTAGTCTTCTAGATTCTTCTAGAAGGTTTTCCTTCCTAATTTAATTAGCATTGATAAATTGACTTTAGTTGACTTTTTAGAGTTTTAATCAGAATAAAAGAAGTGTTTTTAAGGAAAATATGATTTTTCCCTTCTGTACGGCTAAATTTTATCAAAATTAAGAAAACGCGTGAAATTATTTTCTAGCGCACGACGAAAGGATTAGCGCTTGGCCCTAATATTTGGTGTCTGACACTAGCCTTAGTGCCTGGCGCTAATGACTGGCATCTGGCGCTAAGTCTTTTTATTCTCTTCGAAACTCTGATTCGTTTTTCTATCCATCTAGCTGATTTTCTCTATAAATAGCTTCCTAAAACCTCCGTTTTCAATCAACAATTCTCATCAACAATTATTAATTTTCTTATTCTCTCTAGTTTTCAAGATTCTCTTGATATCTTCTCTCTTTCTTTCTCTCTCTCTCTCTCTCTCTCTCTCTCTCACTCTCTCTCTCTCTAGCTTTTTGCATACAAAATTTCGCATTCACAAGATCTAGACACACCTAACCAAATTCGAAGTTGCCTTCGGCCTAGACGTGAAAGGTTTTAATTTCTGAGGGTTTGGTCCCAAATCTCTATTTCAATTATTTAATTTAATTGTTTGATTTTATTATTTTCCTTGAAGTTACTAACGCGTGTATAATTATTAGAAAGAGATACGAGGCATCCAAGTAAGTGCTTTAATCGATTTATTGATATTATGATTTAGAAATCATGTCTAGATTGTTATTTTGATTCCTAGTATCATGTTAGGTTGTTATTATTGCTTCCTAATATCATCTTGAGGGTAATAACTATAATTTCTAATATCAAATATGACAATTGTGATTCCTGCGATGCTTTTTATTTCTTCCTAATATTCATGTTAGTATCATGTTAGGGCTAAATATTTAATCTTTGATGTTTAGTGACATGCTAGGGTTTGTTATTAATCTTGTTAGTATCATGCCTAGGATCTTGCTATTAATATTATGCTTTAATATGATTATGATTATTATTGTTATAATTGTTATGATTTATGATTATTATTATGTTTCTTGATTGTATTTATTGTTATTGCTTGATCACGCCTTTTATGCATGTTTAAAGGGAATTTATACTTGTAATCACGCTTATATAAGATAATTAATAATGTTGTTTAGGTTAATTTGATTATAATTCAAGTGATCGCCAATAATAGATTTATTTGTACATTAGTATTCAACCAACATAGATTAAACAGGTTTAGGGTTAATCCTATTGATTACATGTTAGTCAGAAAGCGCACATGAATACGATCAGAATAAAGTAGAGGCCTATTATTAGGGCAGGTTCAATCTCTTTTAGGTTGGATTTTTACCTTCATCCCCAAACTACCAGACTTGGTTCCAGACCTATTGGAGTTAACGATCTCTTGGATCATTAAGGGGTGTAACCTTCACCCTATGAACGGTTTACAAGTTCCTAAAACTTGTTGGCGGCTCTTTTGCTCTATCTTCCTTCCCTTTTCACGCCAGCGTACTTTAGTGTATGATCACAGTGGGGTTCAAGTTTGGGGTAATGCTTGAAATATTCCCTACACTCACCCAGTCGAGCGGTGTTTAAGCCACGACGCGGCATCCTGACATACCCTGTGGGATGCCAATTCACCTTGTCTAGTGGATCCTCCTTGACTTGAGCTGGGGGTTCTTTAATGCTACACACTAGAGACCCCTCTTCGATCGATGATTGCTTCAAATTGTTACTAGATTTAGCACTTGCAACTCGATCAGGCGGAACACGTAATGTAAGCTCAATTTCCATAGCTTGCTTGTTTATTTCCACCTTTTCATCTTCAAAGCCAAGACCGACAGTGTAGAGGGTTCTTTCTATTGCATCAACTTCCTTTTGCCATTTGTCTATCTCATCTGTAGAAGATGCAACACAAGATACCGCCTCCAAGGGATCTTTTACAAGATATTGGGGCTTGTTTGAATAATTATGAACCACATTAACACTAAAACACTTATCCTCTGTCATGGGGCTTTTAGGGGTATTATTCAAATTAAAAGTAATTTTATAGCCCCCTACTGATAGTGCTGATGAGTGACATTTATGGCACTCATTTGATCTCTTTTTGGATGAATTTTATTTCATTTTGTAGCTCTTTTCCTTAGTTTTCCTTAGTTTTGCTCTTTATTTCTTTACTTTGTGCTTTTCGTAGTTAGCTTCTTTATTTTGTGTATTTCCTTGTTTATTCGATGTTTTTCTCTATTATTTGTTTGTTTGCATTTGTTTTCAGGTTATGATCGAGCATCCAAAGATTTCCGAGCTTCCCTTTAACATTTATCATCACATTGGATGCATTGTGCTAGCATTTTGAACTTCAAGTTTAGAGGAACTCGAAGGGCAAGTCTCAAGACCAGTGCACGCATGCGGTGGGGGCATCATCTATGCCACAAACCCACCAAAATGCTCATATACTTGCTGCCTACTTTGATGTTCATCACCATCACCAAGTTGTGTGCACAAGGATGATCAAGATCGAAGAAGGGGAGGAGGAGACCCTCCTAGGTGCGGCCGCACAGGAGGCGCGTGCGGGCGCACCCCCCGGGGTTTGTGCCCGTACCCTGCTCCGTGCGCCCTCTTCTTCCCTATGTGCGGCCGCATCTGCGTGGGTCTATTTTTGGAAGTCATAACCGACTTCTCCCTTGTATATATAGTAGTTTCTTTCCATTTTTGGGGAGATTCAATTTTTGATTAGATTTTCATTAAGAATTCATTTTTTAGAGATTAGAGAGTAATTAGAGAGAGAATTAGAGCTTTGATCATATTTTGTAGAGAGAGAAACTCTAGTTTGAAGAGAGAGAAATTCATGGTGTATTGTTGATGATTCAAGATTTCTTCATTCCAATTGATCTTTGATCAAATTTTGTACGGTTTACTCATCTTTGATTTCAATATAAGTTTGATTTTAGCTAATTTCATTTGTTTTTCATATGATTGTTGATTGTTTGATGTTTGATTGAAGATTGATTGAAGTTTCATTGATTTTTGTATTGATTTTAGATTTCTTAATATGATCATGATGAAATTGTTGATTAGTTGTGTTTTGATCTTAATTACCATGATTAGTGAGTAGTTTACTCGCTAGGGTAATGGTGAAGCATGTATGAGTAATGGATTAGTGTTAATTGGGAATAATTGATGGAGTTGATGAAGTGATTAAACTTGGTTGATGAATCATGTGCATGTGTGTGATTAATTGAAGATAGGACAACTTTGATTGTTGCACTAGATTGCATTGTAAGTTCACATTGATACGGACCATTGATTTGTGGCTTGCATTTACACGATTGAGGTGTCTTGTGATGTTTCCTAGCTAGAGTTTATCGTAGTTGACGCTATTAGGACCTCTAGGAGAATAGCTTGATATGCTCTTTTGGTTGCATGATTGATTTTCCCTCACATTGATTGACTTAGCCAATTTGACCTCCCAATTAGCCATCTCCATTATGAATGCATGTGGATCCTAGCCCTAGTGTTTATCATCTTTGATTTTCTACAATTTTATTTATTGTCATTAGCTCTAGTTTTAGCATATAACCCCACTTTCGATTTCGGAATAGCTTAGCACAAGACAATAGACAATCTATCACTATTACTTTGGGTTCGAACCTTGACTTGCTACTATACTTGTATAGGGGTTGGTTGAGTGTATAAATTTTGTTTGACCGGTTAGGAAGGGTAGTCCAACAACCTACCATTTCACTATCGATCAAAATGGCGCCGTTGCCGGGGAATGGTATCGTGATTGTGTATTGTTGTTGAGTCTATTCCATATTATTGAGAAAAAAAACACAAAAAGATTTTATTTCTTTCTTTTAGGCTACACTTGTAGCCGTGTTTCTAACAATTTCTTTTTAGATTTTTCATGCATAGCGCTCGTGATCGATCTATTGTGCCTTTTGATCCGGAAATCAAGAGAACACTCTCAAGGAGAAGAATAGCAAATTGATCTTTGCAATATAGTTCTTCAAGTGAAGAGGAGTTTGAAGAAGAGATGCAAGAAGGAGGAATGGGAGAGAATCCAAGGGTAGCCTTGAAGGAGTTAGGTATTCCCGGTGCTTATAGGTTTGAGAGTGGGATTGCTCCGCCTACAACACCGGCGAATGATTTCGAGATAAGACCGGCCATGATTACTTTGATAGAAAGGAGGCAATTTAGTGGAGCCAAGAGTGAGAGTCCGTTAAATCACCTAAAGGAATTTGAGAAGTATTGCAATACCATCAAGGTGAACGGCATTTCTCAAGAGTTCATTCGGCTAAAGTTGTTTCCCTTTTCTCTCATTGGTCGTGCCTTAGAGTGGTTGGATAAAGAGGTTAAGCCTAATTCGCTTAGAACATGGGATGATGTTACTAGGGCATTAATCCAAGGATTCAAGCAAAGGCCTAATGAGAATCTCTATGAGGCATGGGAGAGGTACAAGGAGTACCAAAGAGAATGTCCACATCATGGGATTCCTACTTATCAAGTGATCCAAATTTTCTATGGAGGCTTAAGTGCTCAAGGCAAGTCATGCCTAGATGGAGGAGCCGGTGGTCCTATAATGAATAGGACGGAGGAAGAAGTGGTTGACATAATTGAGGATGTTGTGAGATACTATAGAGATTGGAAAGAAGGAGAGAGAGAGTCCACTAGCAAGAGTGGCTCAACAGTCTATTCGGTGGATTATCTCAACGCAATCAACAACTTGTCATCCCAAATTTCAAATCTAGGGAAAGAGATGACATCAATCAAAGAGAATCTTGAGAGTGTGTCCACGAATTCTTTGAGTCTTCCCTCCCAAACCAAAGGGAGAGGTACAATCTCTAAATCTTCTCCTTCTACTTCTAATAACATGCCAAGTGGTTGTGTATTTTGTGATTTATGTGGTTCTTATGATCATGATTCTTCCATGTGTTCACAAGCTTTTGTTGATGGATGTGATGATGTTGAAAATAATGAATGTGAACATGTGAACTTTGTGTCTAATGCTAATGGTGGTCAAAGGTTTGAAGGATCTAAGAACTTTGGTAATAGGAATTCTCACCCTCAAGGAGGTGGTTTCGATAATTATAATAATGGAGGATATAGGAACCAAGGAAACCAAGGTTTCTGAGGTAACTATAACCACTAAGGTTATAATAATCAAAACTCAAGCCATGGGTATGGTAATCAAGGCCAATCTCAAGGTTTTGGTAACCATTACCATAATGGTGGAAATAGTCAAGGTAGAGGGAGTTAGAACAACAACAAAAATAGGGGAAATTTTCAAAACAACAATCAAAGGGGACCCCCTCCCGGTTTTGCTCCAAAGTCCCAATCCAATGGTGAAAATTCTTATTCCCAACCATCATCTTTTAAGACAAATTTGGAAGAATTAATTGATAATAAAACTAAGATCATTAACACCTATATGGCGGTTAGTAATAAGAAGTTTAATGAGATGATGACTCATAATAAGATGCTTAAGACACAAATAACCCAACTTGCAAACACTCTTAAGGATTATGCTAGTCCTTCCTCTTTGCCTTCTCAAGGGGTGGAACCGAAGAAACCCGTGTATTCCGTAATCACTAGGTGTTGGAGAGTCCTTAGTGAGGGAGTTTCTAGTTCCATAGAGGAAGATGAGGAGAGGAGTGTTTTGAGGGAGGAAGATGAGAGGGTTGTGTCCAAGGATATCTATTGTGAGGAGGAGAAAAAGAAAAATAATGTTGATGAGAAGATGTGTGAGGAGGTAAGATTTCCCGATCTACCCTATCCTAAAAAGTTCTTGAGGCATAAGATGGATGAGCAATTTGGGAAGTTCCTTGAAATGCTTTAAGAAGTTCATGTTTCCATCCCTTTTATCGAATCTAATCCCCAAATGCCTAGATATTCCAAGTTTCTTAAGGAAATTCTAGAAGGGAAGGGGGATTGTAATGAGGTCAATTCGGAGGAAGGAGGGAAATGTTTTAGTGCTCTTATCCATGGGAATCTACCGGAGAAGTTGGAGGATCCGGGGAATTTTTCTGTCCCTTGCAAAATCAAGAAGTTGATGTTTGAGAATGCTCTTTGTGACTTAGGAGCTAGTGTGAGTATCATGCCTTATTCGGTTTTCAAAAGACTCAATTTAGGTGAGCTTATATCATCCAATATAACCCTTATTGGCCGATCGATCTATCAAGATTCCTAAGGGGAGAGTTGAGGATGTTCCACTTAAGATTGGGGAGTTTGTTTTTCCCGTTGATTTTGTGGTGTTAGAAATTGAGGAAGATGAACACATTCCTATCATCTTAGGGAGACCTTTCTTAGCCACCTCGGGAGCTTTGATAGATGTGAAAGGAGGCCGCATTACTTTGAGATGTGGTAAGAAGGAGGAAAGTTTTAAGTTGAAACCAATGCATGAATCTATGTCTTTTATGCAAGAAATGATGTGTGCAAGTTCCTCTCGTTCTATCGACAATGTATGTATGATTGACTCTTCTACTAACGATGCTCTTGAGAATTTTGATGATGTTCTTGCAAGTTTTGATAGCATGGAGGTTAGTGAAGAGAAAATGATGATTCTCAAGCTCATGGACGAGGAGGAAGTTGAGATTCCAAGTTGGTTTGAGCTTATTCCTCAAGATGAAGGGGAGGTTTCCATGATTGTGGATGTTGAAGTTCCATCTACATTGAACAACAAGCCAAAAAAGAAGGCTTGTGATTCCAAGAAGTTGAGAAAAAGGAAGAAGTTGAGAAAAGAAAATGTGGTTTTGAGAAGTGTTTCATGGAAGTTTCATCGAGCAACGAAGGAAGGTTGCTAAAAAATGAAGAAGATTTTGCTCTATCTACTACCTTGAAAAAGGTGGTGTTCTTTGACCCTCCATGATTTGGAGGAAGGGTCGAGCTTAGGACCTTAACTAAGAGCTTCTCGGGAGGCAACCAGGAGTTTCTAACCTTTCCTTTTGATTTTTGCATTTTTCTTGTTTTTCCTTCTTTTATTTCCTTTTCTTTTCTTTCACTTTTCTACTTGTTTGGATTTGTAGGATGAACTTTTCGAGATTGGATTTCTCCAAGCAAGCATGTTGAATGGAAGGTGTTTTGTGGTATTTGTCATGATCATGTTCGATTCTAATTGAAATTTGAGGTAAAGAGATAAGAATTTTAGTGAGTTAAGTTAGGAAGTTCATGCTTTGAAAGTTGAAGGAAGTTGATGCTTAGTGAGTTCTTGTGGTGGGTTCATGAATCTCAAAGCTTTGAGCTCACTAAAAAATGTATTTTGCTACTGCCTATGTTGGTGTTTATCACCATCATGATTCATGTACGCACCCAAGAACCCATCGAGCATCAAAGAAAGAAAAAAAAAGAAGAATAAGGGTGCATGGCTGGTGCGGGCGCACATCAGGTGTGTGCGGGCGCACCAAGCACGGCTCCCCCTTATTTCTTCTTCTTCTTTTCTTTTCCTTTCACTTCCTCATTTCCACTTTCTCTCCTCACGACTCTCATCACCATCAAACCCTCATTTGTGCACACCTCTACACCTCCATTCTCCATCAAATCTTCATCAATTCTTTGCAAATTTCACTCCAAATTCATTAAAATCAAGTCCATTTCCATTCTACTCATCAAAAATCACACAAATTCACCAAAATAAACACCTAATCTCTCTCCTCCATAGTTGGGTATAATTTGGGGCTTTTGTGTATGATCGAAATTGGTGGCTCAAACTTGTTCAAATTTGCTTCATATATGGTATAATCATCTTCTATAACTTCAATTTACTTAATTATATCATATATATTCATGTTTAGAATTTTTGTATGAGCATGAATAGTGGTAGTATGGTTTTTATGGATTTTGATGATTGATATTGATTTTGGATGAAATTTTGTGATGTTTGTTGATTGATTTTGCATAACATTGTCTTGTTTGTTGATTTTGTAGCATTTGTGATCATTTTTGGTTGGAATTTGTTGAAGTTGAAATTTGGTAAAATTGGTAGTAAGGTGCTCATATTGGTATTGGATTGATTGTTTGTGTATTGGATTGTTGGTGAAGGATTTTCTTGGTTGTTTGGTGATTTTGGTTGATTGGATTGAGCTTGTATATTGGTGGAAGTGTTGGTTCTTGAATTGGTGATTCTTGGAGTCTTGGTGTTGATTTTGAGTTGATTGATTTTGGTGAACCAAACTAACCACAAAAATGTCTAGCCTTATCAAAAAGTTTACCAAAAAGCGAAAAACCAATGTCTCCATTGATGAACCTAGACCTAGCACATGATCTCCACAAAAACGACCTCCAACACCACTACCAAAACGCAAAAACCTTGACCATGAGCAAAAATCCCGCTACCAAAAGCTTAAAGATGAGAGAACCCTCAAACCCACCCGCCACTATCTCCATCGCGACATGACTAGTTTGGGGATAGATGAGGATGTTAGGGAGTTGCTCTTAAACTTGAGATTAGGTACCTTCATTGCTGATTCTTACCGCACCTACAAGGAGCCAACTTTGGATTTTTTGGCTACTCTTGAGCTTGTGCCCGTGGAGGGGCGATTCCGGGTGCGATTTCAAATCTTCAACGAATTCTTCGACCACTCCTTGGAAGAATTCAACGCGGCTTTGGATTTTGATCCACATAGTGATATCTTGGATCTTGAGTGGTACATCATTCCGGAGTATGATCAAAACTCTTGGTGGGATGATATCTCAGGGGTTAGTGAGTTCATCACAAGTGTCGCCAAGATTTCCATTGTGCACCAACCTTGTCTTCGGGTGGTACACCGACTTTTGGGCTATGTTGTGTTCCCCAAGCAAGAGTTGGGGAAGATGAGCAAGTTAGAGCTCAATATCTTGTGGTTGGCCACCCGTCCCGAGTATCGTGGCCGTTTAAACTTGGGGTATGTGTTTGCACAATATTGCATTGCTTTGAGGGGCCGGAGCGCCGGTGAGATACCGTGTGGGGATATGGTTACTAGGCTCTTGACTCACCTCCACATCAATCATTACTTGCCTTATTGCAAGGAAATTGGAGATGGCACTACTATTTTTCTTGATTTGAAACAATTGGGGCAAGTGCAATTCATCTCCAAGCACTATGAAGATGGGAAGTATGAATAGTTGAGGGATAATGAGCATTGGTGCTTTTTGCCTAACCCCGGGTTGACTTCTTTGCACCGGATCAACGCCGAGAATGTGTGGCACGTTCCCAAGTCTTATCGGCGTCCCAACTTTGACTCCGATGATGAAGAGGAGGATGATGAAGAAGAAGAACAACAAAATCAACAACAACAACGTCAACAACAACAACAACGAATTCCGTAACAACAACAACAACAACAACAACAAGGGCAACATTCTTATGCTAGTGCCGACTTGGGGGCACTTAGTGAGCAAATGAGCGGTTTGCAAATCCGCTTAGAGGGCATGTATGATCAAGATTTCAAAGCAATCTACAACCAAATGAGAGGTATTTCGGAAATGCAACAAGGTATGTTCATACAACAACAACAACTTTATGGTGCGGAAGTTGACTGCGGGAACATTGTTCCCCCGGTTAACTATCCTTATTTTCCGCCCCAGCAAGGTCCTATACCTTCATATGGTCACCCGTATTGGCAGGGACCTGCCGTTCCCGATTCCGAGCGTCGCTTCTACCCGGATGAGCAAGGTAATTACGATTACAAGGCTCCCGGTGGATGTGACTATAGGGGTGATCCTAACTACCCCTATGTACACCCTAACCACCCTTACGAGCTAGCTTTGCCCGATAACTTCACCCCTCTTGCCCCTTGGCAACAAGATAACTTTAAGGGGCATTATGGGTGGCCCGATGGCTTCACCGGAGGTTGGGAGCCTTATCCACCTCCAACCTTCGATGACCACGTGGGAAACAATGACCCCAATGGGGCCGGGCCTAGTGGTAGTGGTGGTAGTGGTCATTAGTTCCCTTGCTTTTTGTGCTTTCTGCCTCCATCCCTTATGTTTTTGTGCTTGCTTTGTATTGTTGGGATGTTGAGATGTATCATTGTTTAGCTTGGGGGAACTAATTCTTTACTTGGTAGCCAATACTTGTTGTATGCATACTTTGTTTGCTTGTTTGTTTTTATCCTCTTCTTGTTTAGTTTGCTTTATTTTCTTGATCTTTACTCCTCT